TCTCTGTCTCGATTAGTCTCGATATTTCAACCAAATTTATTAGAAGAACTATAGATTATTTTTCTTTGACAAAATAAAGGGAGACTATTAAATAATTCAGCCACGCCCCATCGTGGTGCTGAACTTGGGGTCAGCTAAAAGTCATGCACGAAAAAAGACGACATAAACAAGACGTCTATAACAGTACATCAATATTCTTATATTTATAACCTATGCAAAACAAATAACAAAACTGTGAGGCAAAAGAAGTTAGTATTTAACAGAGCAAAATTATAAGGATTATATGCATTCTTGGAAAGATAAAACAATTGTTTAAAATTTTATGGCTTCATTGTATGTTAAAAGAACTAGTTTTTGTGTAGTTTATTTTCATAATAGTTAACAGTCATCGGTTACACATTCTAACCAGTAATATATTTTTCTAAAAAAGATTAAATTTCTTGTATGTTATAACGGTACGTAGCAAAACTTTTAATAATAAGTATATTATTTAATTATTATTTTAAGACTCCATTACTCTTTTCAGCTTTACGGTATCATATCTCCATATGTTATTCATCAAATGCTCTACAACTAATGTTATTCAATTTACTTGTTTTCTACTTTTTTCTTTATTTCTTTAAATTGATGTCTCCTTTAATATTTTGGCACGTTAAGATTCCGGATTTGCTTTTCAAAGTACGAATATTTACATTCTTTAACTTTCTGTTAGCCTATATCCGACAACAACAATGGGATCTCTAATTTTTTTAATTTTTTTACTGCGCTCTGTTCTTTTGTTATATTTGTATTTGTCCTATTCGCTGAAGAGGGTTTAAGTCGAAACGTTAATATCTTAATGTTATGTCTTTTTATTCAAGCGGCAACACAACTTTTCCTACCATTTCTTTCACACAGCTCGAATGCAGTTTTTCAATTATTATCTTATAAACCTAGGAGTCGGAGAAGCTGATTCTAAAACTTATAGACAAAGTAAAATAAAAAGAAATTGCCAATACCTTATGAAGAAAACATATTACCATTGAATTTTTTATTTTGTTTGTTTCGTTCTCATCTTTTATATTTTTACAATCAAGGAATTAATTAAAACACATTGTTCTCTTTTGTAACGTTTTGAAAATGTATATATTAGATCAATAAATCATTAAAAAATATTTAGTTGTTTTTTTTTTTCTATAATAAATTTTTCTCGATTTATTTGCGAGTTTTTTTAGGGTTTCTTTTTTTTTTTTTAAATGGAAGGGACTATTTTAAACTGTTAAGAAAGAGAAGAAAAATACTTTACCTTGTGAGATTTACAAAATGGCGCATAAAGCATTTTATATCGTAATAATGCATAAAAATAAACTGAACGCCTTTCTTAAAACAATTAACGCTTTGTAAAGTTCTTGTTTAATTCTTAGAGATAATTTTCTGAACTTAATAACCCTGAAATACTATTATAACAATTAGAGCAACCTGGCTCTTAAAGAAAAATATCATAGTGGCTGAGTTTAGACATTTTTTTCACTATTACAACTCTTTGTATTTTTTAAGTGTAGTATTATCAGAAAAGCTCATTTGGAAGCAGAAACAAGAAGCTTATCTTATAAACGAATTGTATTTATTGTAAAGATAAGGCGTTACAAGGCTTGGCTAGTCGTTAAATAAAATTATGTATCCTAATATGTCATGTGAAGACAATTTCATTTTGCCCATTTTAAAATCTTGCAAATATACATTGCTTTTCTAAATTTTGAATAGCAAAAATAGCTTATACATTTTTATTATCGAACGCGCAGTAAAAAACACTTCGCTAAAGAAACAATTAAAATTATTTTTTCCCCTTTAAAATACCAGATTTATTATAAAACGTGTAAACATCGAACTTGGGCCCTTACCATTTCAGGTAGTTTTCTTTAAACTGGATTGCCTGCTCTTGTGGGCTTTCACTGAGGTTTTGCCAAATGGGTTCTGACCAGGTCCAAAACAATATATTCCTCTCAAGAGACTTTTATTCAGAGCCCAGATTTCACACTGTAAGACCACTAAATGATTATTGGATGTAAATAATAAAATTGATACTTAAACTGATTTAGTTTAATATTTAAGAAACGTATTATAAATGTTCAAAATGTCAATAATTTAACTAAAGGATGTAATCTTATTTGAACTGAAAAAAATTCAATGCGTCAGATGTGAGGACTTTGAGACATAGTTATCTTCAAAAAACGAATCAGCCCATATTTTGTCTAAGTGCTGCTTTTAACTAAATCTAAAACATGTGATTCTCTACGCCTTATCTTAAAATATAAAAAAACAATAAATAGCAGATCCATATGTCAGTAATAACATTCGTACGTCATATCACTTTTATATATTCTATTGATCTATATGACACATGCCCATGGGCGATGAAACAAATTTAGACAAAAATAGACAAAAAATGTATTAAAGTAAAGAGAAAATAAAGAGAAAGTAACTAAGCTGATGTCCTTTCCGTTCATTCACCATACAAATAAGCTACAGTAATTTAAAAATACATTAAAACATTACTAACAAATGTTTGCCCCCCCCCCCCCTTGTAAAGTTTTCTGTGAGAAACCATGCCACATGCCATAATGTGAACGCTAAGTAATTTAGTTAATTAAAATGCTAAAACTTTTTTTCTCCTCACTAAAAGTGAAACTTTGCTCGGGCATGTTTTCGGACCAACTAATTTCTAAAGTCTAAAGTGCTACCAGCATGCATGTAAATATGTAGGGACCTGTTAAAAACATAACGCAAAAAGTCCAGTTATTTCTTTAAAAAAAAAATATAGCATCTATAACAGCTATTGTCAATATTATTTTGTGGACAAGCAACTTTAAGGAGTTATTTAAACTGCAGTTAAAGGCCACTTTAAATTTTAAAGGATTTCTTATTAAATAAGGTATTTATTCATGCTAAATCTCTTTGCGTTAATCAAATATGCTGAAATAATACCTTATTCAAGAGGGGTCAATTTAGTTATCCCTAACTTAGAACTATACAAATAATTCTTAAAAATGTATAAGTTTATTTTTCAAATGTATACCATTAAAATTATTTGTGGTTTTTTAAGGTTGGAAAAGGAACATTTTTTATGTTTAATAATGTCCAAATAATTCTCTTGAACAAGCCATAAGATAGATCAGTTTATTTAAAATATAATTTTGCATCCTGCTGTACAAAATGATGTATTGTTCCTTTTTGGAAACATCCCTCCCCAATAATTAAAGAAAATATTATGAAACATACATTTATCAAGTGTTGCCTAGGTGCATAAATTTACGTAGAAGATAGGTTTGTAACCTCCTTTCATAGCTTTTGATCAAATACAGAAAATACATTTTTGAACTTCTTACTCTGATTTTGAACTTTATATACATTTTTTAAAATCTTTAATCTGATTTCATAAAATTTGAGGACAATTGTAGACAATTAGAGAGCATTGATATAATCTTAAATCTTATAAATGAATAAAAAATTATACAAAAAGAAGCTTCTGAAAACTTAAATATGATATATTAATCTATACCCGGATATTTCTAGAAAATTATATAACTTAGTCAAATTAATTAAAATGTTCATAATATTTGAGATCCCATTGACATTATTGTAAATTTTAAACAATCGTTGAACAATACACACTATACTAGAAAATGTAATATTTTTGTTTGAAAAAAAAATGTATATAATTGGTTAAAAAGAAAGAACGCTTTTTATGCAGTCCTAATTGCGAGATTTCGACATCTGAAACAATAGATATAAAGATAATAACAATTTTAAAGTAACGAATGAAGTCAATGGAAAATAAAAGCCAATATACATTAAAAAATATAAGCATGCTCCTTGGAAAACATGGACGTAGAATACATCAATCCAGCAGGTGAGTGAGAAAAAGATGTGTGTCAAATCAGCCATGAAAGGCTACAGTGTCTGTCTGTTTCTAAGAACGACAAGAAGTGCGTCAAGATTCGTAAGCCAGCAAAAGCGAAAGTGCGCCTTCCGTAGGTCTCAGAGCGGACTCAACGTATTCAGAGCTTGCTAGTATCGGATGAACGGAGTGATCTACTGATGTATGCTTATTGATTTGGCTATTATAAATATAAATGCATTGTAGAGTATCATACACCTATTTGGAATTGTAAATCTAATTTCAAAATATTTTAGATAAGTCATATAGTCTTATAGAAACATAAGAAACATAAAAAGGACACATTGATCACAACCAGGACAAAATCTGACATAAGTTAAAATAAAATTCTAGACCAAGTTATTGTATTTGAAATTTAAGAAGCTCATAGTAATGAAGAAGCAGGTAAATAATCTAATTGATAAAATGAAATCTACTATGAAATTTGTCTCAAGGGGGGGGGGGGCATTACAGTTTTTTGTTGTTTTTTTTTTTTTGGGGGGGACGGGTGACAGTGCTAGCGGTGTCAGATGATTTATTTTTGAACATATATTTGCTCCGGGGGGCACTTAGCTTTTCCCAGGGGGAGCAGTACCCCCACCTCGGAAATATAGCTGAAAGAAACCCTGTACTGAACCATGTGACAATTCTGATATTTTTTAAAAGTTTTATTTAATTATTTTTTTATCAACCAAACAAAAGCGCACCTCGCTAAATCTGAAAGATCATCCCGTGACGTCATTTGTATGTTTTTTTATAGTTGCAGTGAATTAGGCATAGGGATCAATTTATGGATTAACATTAACTGGTTGTGTCAACCAAGGTGGCGGCCATCGTGGGACGATCTCTAATAATTTACTGCGCATCTTAAACCCTTCTTTGATAGGTGTATAAACGTCGATCATTTTAACAAATAAAGAAACAAAAAAAACAAAAAAAACACAGCAAATCTACTTTGAGCTTTATATATATATGTAACAGTTAAGTTCATCAAGACAATTTTTTTTTTTAGGGAAATCCCGTTATTATCACGCAACCTTTCTTTGCAAGAAATACAGTTTCTAAAATAACTTCCCGTTATTATTTTGCATTTATTGTCAGAATACACAAAATTAGCATATCATACGTGGATTTCTTATGGTCATCTTTATTTATGTAATATTTTTAAAATTCATCATTTTGTCCAAATTGTTATGATTATGGGGTAATATAATTTTAGAGCAAAATCATCCATCAGGATTTATTTTAGTTGTAGGTAAGTATTTTGTTAATATTCATAGCTTAATTAGGCCCAAATCAAAAAAATGCTGTGCGGAAAAAGAAAGCAATTATTATAAAGACTTTTCGCTAATATGTGTAGATATATATATATATATATATAAAGAGATATATATATATATAGAGAGAGAGAGTGGAAAGATAGATAGATTGATAGATAGATAGATAGATAGATAGATATATAGATAGATAGATAGATAGATAGATAGATAGATAGATAGATAGATAGATAGATAGATAGATAGATAGATAGATAGATAGATAGATAGATAGATAGATAGATAGATAGATAGATAGATAGATAGATAGATAGATAGATAGATAGATAGATAGATAGATAGATAGATAGATAGATAGATAAATAGACAGAAAGATAGATAGACATATTGATAGATTATAGACACAGACGAATGTGAATAAATTAACAAGAAAAGTATGTTTATCAATTTAGACCTTCCTTACTTATTTGTTCGTTTTTATTTAAAATTTCAAGGCATATAAGTTAGAATACCTGAAGCATGCATTTATTACATTATCTTATTCCTAATTTAAACCATTTGTTGTCTTTATTATATATATATTTTAAGATCAAATGAGCTCAAATATGGTAATGATGACAGTTAATAAGCTCTACACCCCTATTCATCTGCTCTACATCATTCTAGCATGCGTTATACATTTAAAATTAATGAGTCCAGGTAAGTAAAAGTAAAAATGTCTTATTTGAATTTTAAAATATAGTTTTTAAAGGGTATATATTAATTATTTTAATAACAATAGATATAAGTTGTTTAGTTTTATACCTATTTGCATAAATTGGTGTTCATGTTAAAAGGGATAATTTAACTATATGTTTTATGTAAATATAAATATAAAATAAAATTTTGTTATGAGAACATGCTGAGAAATAAAGCGTGGATATAAAGAGTATGCAATATAATTGTATAACCTTATATATATATATATATATATACATATTAATAATTGCAATAAAAAGCCCTTTCAATTCCTTTTACAACGGATTTATAATAATAATGTATGAGAATAAATGATTTTTGGTGGGTTTTTTATTGTTTTTTTTTTAATTACAGTGTATGGGAAGAGTATAACGCTCTCCTTGTCTAGGCAAGAGGACTGTATCACAAATTGTTCGAAAGGCCTAATCAGCGGCATTGACATAGTGGTCTTTAAATGCAATGTGAACTACGTTAATGATCCTAATTTGGAATTTGTACAGTTTTACGTAAAAAAGAAAACTGAAAGAGCATTCAACTTTGTAAGTATTCATTTTATTATAGAACTAAATAGTAAACGTTGCACATATCCCATCTGGTGTATTATTAAAGTATTATTAAATTATTAAAGTGTATTGAAAACCTAAAAGAGTAGAGATCAACCTGTTCTTGTCTAATGTTGATAATAATCCATCCTGAAAGTCTACGGCAAATTTACCAACGAAAGTTTACATTTCCTAAAAAAGTGTGAAGATCTATAAATGCGCTGAATCCTAAAACGATGTCAGTACTTTAAATCAATGACAATTTTTTTTAAAAGCCATCTTGCATAGTGTGGCCACTATTATTTTTTTTAACATACTAAAGCTAATGATTTTTTTCTTAGTGATTGAAACACTTCCAAAAATTTCATACTAGCTCCATTAGCTTAACACTTTGATAATATAGATAAGATCAATGTTTAGTTACCTCTTGTTAGCTTGTTTAGCGTGTCTCTCTCCCATTTGATTCGTATCAATTCGATATCTGCGAATACTAATACAGCCAACGTGGACGTAATATCAGAAAAGCTTATTAAAACTGATAGCAGCATTTTTTTCCTTCACTTAAGTCTTCATATAGAATGCTACTGACTAAAGCCCACTTTATTGCTATCTGGATAGAGGGCCCTGTAAAGGTACCCAAGATCTGATGCATCATTATTCGTCTCATGTTGCCTTTATTATATTAAATTGTTAAATACCGATTTAAATATTAATTAACTTGATTAGGTCATTTGGAGGCATGTTTCGTAAAATATTTTAATTTTTTTTTTTCGATTTTAAATAAACAGTTTACATTTAAACCAAAATGAAATATAAAATTGCAATTTAGAAACGAAACTAGGACAAAAGAAACTAAATATCAAATATTGTTTTCAAATAAGTCTAGGGAGATGCAAATCTGAAATCAGGTATAAGCATAAAAGAATCATGCATTTTGAAGTTATCAACAAACACAACAGACATAAAAAACTCGGCTCTCTCTTGCCCAGGAACAATTTGCATCCGCGATTCCTGCTATTGTTAGATTGTCTAGGGTATTTTCATTTTGTCTCTTTGTGTGGTGGGTGAATCAAAGCTTACCGGGGCGTCATAATGCGTAATGTAGGAACTGATAGATTATCTACCATTTCCAAACACTAAAATTCTCTCCTCCACAAAAAATGATGAAGTTGTTTTTAAAAAAAAATGTCATTATGCTATTGACATTAGGGTCCGCAAAGAGATTTTCCAAAATATCTTGAATATTCTGAGAAGCATAAGCACCCTTAGTGCATTACATTGACCAAGGGCTGCATTGGTGTTATGAATGCTTTTAGTGGACTATGTTTTTACTAATGAAGTGGTTAAAATGTATGATATTGTTAAAAGCATTTTTTAAAAAAATCATGTTTGTGATGAAATATGTAAAACCAAAAAAAAAGTATTTAAAAATTTAAACATCACTACAACAAAATAATTTTTTTATATCTCCTTTTTTCAATTTCCTTTTTTTTTTAAAGGTGTATCCGATTTATTTGCTTCATTATTTGTTTTGTGTAGTTTTTTTTATATTTTTAATGAAAACTAGCCGATATACCCAGCGTTAGCCGCTTTTAAATCGGACAAACAATAACTTCTACAGCATTTCAATAAACATTGAAAATAAGAGTCTTTTAAAATATATTGATAGACACAAAAAACAAATCAACACACCTATAGTAAACAAAAATTGCTTCGAATTCTATAAAAAGAATTTATAATAACTTGTGTAAACCATTCGTTTCCCAATGGGATACCCCTCCTGAAGGGATCCGTTCCTCAAAAGATTCCAATCAGATTACGTTTCCCAATGGGATCTCGTTTACAATGGTATCCAAGTTTCCCAAGGGATCCCGACCGCGTATGGACCCGGATCCCGGTTAGATACCGATCCCGATGGTTTTCCTGGCGCCTTTATCTCGCTGCGATCCCGTTTTCAGATAGAATTTCGATCCCGTTAGTATCCAATCGTCTGTGGGATCTCGTTTCTCCGTGGGGTTGTCTTCTCCGATGGGTTTCCGTTTTCCCCATTTGTTCCCGTTACTCGATTGTATCACCTTACCGTTGTGTTCCAGTGTACTCGTTCCCCTTTAGGATCCTCTCCCATGTTGGGATCATGTTCCCAGTAGGGTTCTGCTCCCGGTACTATTAAGAAGGGTATGTTTAAACAAAAGACCCATATAAGTATAGAAATGAACATAAATAAACTAACATTTTATTAAGAACATTCTTGAATAGTTCAGATTAAATTTAATATCCTCCTCGAGACTTGTAAAGAATGACTTTTCTATGTAATATTTTTTTAGCGAAAAGGATACCACACAATTCACTACTATAACTTTAGTACATTTACATTGAAAGAGGGCCCCGCACAGGGGCGGGTCCATTCTAAAAGTGTAGTTTTTAGTGTTTTTTTTGCCTGATATAGGGGGCCATATAAAAATCAGTAAGAAAAAAAAAATAAGTTAACATTTATAGATTTCAGTTAAAATCGGTTTAAAAATTACTTAGATATGACTTTATATAAATTATCTAACTTTCTGGACACATTCTAGTTTGAATATAATTATTTTTTAAATCTACCGATATTTCTATACTGACAATGAAGTGAAATTCTACAAAACTAGGCCTTTATCCATCAATTCACATAGAACGTATAGTGTTTTCTAAGCCTATTTATATGTATAAAGCTCCTCTAAAAAAAAATGAAATGGTGCCTTCGGCCCAAGATAAAATTGATATTATGAGTTCAGTACCCTTAATACTTGAATATTGATAATCAAGTATAAGTGCACTAATTTTGGTTAAGATCAATCTGTTCATGTAGGAGTATTTGTTGTTTATTTAATTTGTATAATTAATGTAATTTAAAAAAAAAAAAAACGAATTCGGGGCCCCCATACCAAAATGAAATGTTATGCAATTTCATACCCCCCTAAGTGTTCCCTCCGGATAATGATATATATATATATGTAAGTGCCAAGTTTGTTAAATATCCATCAATTCCATTTTATATATCGTAATGGTAATAAAACCGCTATTTATATTACAAAAAAAAAAAAAAAAAAAAAAAAAAAAAAAAAAAAAAAAAAACAGATAAATATTGCTCTTAAAACCAAAATCAATGATATAGTGATATTTCACCAAAGCGTATACTTTTTTTTTTCCATTTTATTCCCCTAAATATATTTTGCCTTAAAATTGTCATTATATAATATGTAATTTGACAAAATATTTTACCTGAGTGATTTTATGTATTAATTACTTTTACATGAAAAGAAAAAAAATGTACACAATATTAATATATGTATTGAAATTGTACATTCAAGAAAATGTTTCGCTTAACGTTAAATGTTTAAATTTAAAAAACATTCCAGGGTGTTAAAAGAAAATTAAATCTATTTTAAAACAATACCAAATGAAGTGTCTCGATTGAAGACACCTCACAGACCCATTTACAGCTAAAATGTCTACCCACAAAACTCTGCTGTCTTTTTAGTAGCTTAAAAATTGGTCCATCCTTTCATTTAAATCCAAAACAAAGTAGAAAAATATAGCGAATAAACTATTAGGGGAATATAATCAGATTAAATGGTAATGTTAAGAAAACTAAAATACTCATACCTTTCAGCCTACATTAGCTGTGATATAATGTACCAAGAGCAATGTCTATCGACACATTTAGTAATTTACATTCATTTAACAGAAAAACGTATAGCTGCACCAATAAAGATCTCGAATCACGAAAAAAGAAATCAAAGGAAATTGTAAAGGTGTAAATGAGATAGTGGGTGCTGGGTAACCAAGTGGTCCAAACAGAGTCAATCCCAAGGTTGTTGTCTGGAGTTCAATCCACCAAAAATAATGAACATCCCCCGGATGGATGAGACCTACTAACCTTAAATGTCAACTCATGGCGTCTCGTAAGAGAGAGAGAGAGAGAGGCAATATTTACACAATGTAGTCCTACTGGGGAATAACATTGACACAATGACAACTCTTGCGACGCTGCTGTTGCCAAGCTATATCATCAACATAGTTATCCAGATCCGTGAAGAGAGGACTTTGCTGTCTAAGGAACAAGCTAACACTCCTTGTGATTTCATACATTGAAGTGTAAGACATCTTCACATTGTGAAGGACACATGCCAACACTATTTTTTTTAAATTAATTAACATGATATGAAATTGCAATTGTGTGCAATTAATATTTTTTTCAATGACACACTCCCGACAAACACATACATCAGTTATTGTTAATATTTTTTCAGATAAGAAGCTACAACGTCAAGGAATGTGATAGCAAGAAAAACTTTGAATGCACTCGCTTAAGCCAGTTCATGGTTAATATTTCCATAAGAATACAAGCTCTAACCGATTATAATGGTGGAGAGATATTTGGTGAACTTGTTACAAATAGTATTCAGGACAAAAGGAGTGAAACACAGCTGTTTCCATTGATATATGGTAGTATTCTTTTATTTCTATTTTTTTTTAAATAGTAAATTCTAAGTGTTCATTTTCAATTTCTGTTTTTCTTAAAGGGTAAAAAAGCTGCCTTATAAACATACTACTTAATGAATGTATATGGCATTCTTCCTTCTTTGCGAGACGATGGGATAGCTTTACAGTCCTACTCTTCGACGAGTGGCTCATTAGGATAATCATTGAATGACATTCTCGACTGCATTTTGCACAAGAGGATATTGAATGCTGGTTTTGATTTTTTCTTCCGTATTGTTATTTTTTTGCAATTGATTCATTTAGCGTATCCTCTGCATTTTTTATTTCTTCATACTCTGCTGTTCGCCAGCTGCAAGGTTTTTCGCCTATGATCTCCCATTTGTTCATATCAATATTGGCTTCCATCGTGCTACTTTTGCAAACGTCCTTTAATCTCAGACATGGACTTTCAAAAAGTTCTTTCACATCTAACAACTCTCCATTTAGCAGCATATTTAGGATAAGGCCTTCATCCATTCTCCATAGGTGGCCTAACCATTTGCAAATAGCCGAGAATATGTTAAATATTTTTGCAAGATATTGAACAGTCTACCATCAGATATGGTATGGAGGTAAACTCCGTCTTCAAAGTGCGATAAGGGAAATTAAAGGAGCCTTGAGAAGAAAATTGAGAATCGCGTTGGTGCCAGTTTAACTCCGCTACTGACTGGGATATTGAATAGTCTACCATCAGATATGGTATGGAGATACACTCCGTCGTCAAAGTGCGATAAGGGAAATTAAAGGAGCATTGAGAAGAAAATGGAGAACCGCGTTGGTGCCAGTACACAACCCTGTTTAAATCCGCTGCTGACTGGGAATGCCTCAGGTACATAGCTTTTGAAGTTTAATGTTGTTACGCAGTGCTATCCGTAGGGAGAAATTAATTTCCTATATACATGTATGGCTCGTTCCAAAACAGTGCTTAACAAGACGATACCAATTGATAAAAACATAACAGAGAATACTAACACTCAAAACAGTTTTAACTGCAATTTATAAGATTTATTAAGTTATTATGGCTTACAAAAGAAAAGAAATATAATTAAAATCATTAACTTATAGAGTATTCTTTTTCTTGTGACGGTAAACGTTTAATACAATGTGCCAAAAAAGGCATAACAATGAAACAAATTCACACACATAAGTAAATACAGCTCTATCAAGAATAACACACTCTAAAAAAATACTAGTCTGCCGTCCCGTAAAGAAGCAATCTTATCTTCCTAAAAATAAAATTCAATCTGCTTTTATAGTCTGTTGTACATAAATTTCCAGGCGTATTACGCATTATATTAGTAAATCGAAAATTCTAAAATTTACTACCGTTTTCTATCGCATTGGAGTCAAGAGAACAAGCGATATATTGGTTTGTGGTAAACAAGATCAAAGGGAATAAGCCACGCCCAATATTTTGCTGGGCATGTTTCTGTGAAATCAATTAATGATTGTGAGCAGTCGCAGGGGACAACCTATTTTGTCCCTCCTTGGCTTAGTTGAAAAGACTTTTGCACGGGTTACCCTTAAAGAATTGTAAAGTCTGGCTAACTGCATCTTCCAATAGTCCCAGTGTGGCTTCCTGGGTGGGCGCTCAACTATAGACATGATATTCTCGTTACGCAAAATGCGGTAGACGTGTCGAGAACAGCATATGCCTATGTATATTGCTTTCATAGATCTGACACAAGCATTTTACTTGATAAGTCCGAGAGGTCTGTTCATTGTCCTGCAAAGAATTAATGAATTTATAATACAATGAGATATATTTGGTTGTAGTCTTATTCTATGCACTGATATATTTCCTTCTTTTGTTGCTTCTCCCTTTTAACTTTCAAATATCACAATGTTAACAGATTCATCGACTGTTGATAGTGAACTGATCATCAATGGACATAAAATTCAACAAGATGATGACAAATGTTTCATGGATGTTCCCGAAAAATATGTACACATTGTGTTTAACTGCAGGAGTGAAGTTTCGCCTTGCTTGATTGAGATAGTATTTGATAATGAAGGCAAACATGTGAAAGGAATTGAAACAATTAATCTTACAAAAACAAAGTATATTGGTGAAAGTTTCACAGTATTCCATGCAGTATGTAGTATGGATAAAAACATACACATTAAAAGATGTTCAAAATCAGGTAATAAAAAAAAAAATTAAATGGAAGTTTTTTTTTTTTAATCTGTTAAATTCAAAATGTATATTTGCAATTAAAACATTTAAAACGAATATATAAATCTTTCGAGTACTTGAATATCAAATACTAAAAAAACCTTTATTAAACAAAGTGTACGTATATTGGTTTTGTAAATTATTTTTGTTTCCAGTATTGACGTATTATAATGATTAATTTTATTTTATCTAATAGAAGTGAATACATTGATATCTCCATGGACATTTGCTGTAGTGGTTGTTTTTATTCTGGGGATAGCAACTATTGCAATGACTGCCCATTTTCTGTGGTACGTAAACAATTTAGTTTTCTTTAATGAGATTTCTGTAAATTTTGAATATTTATTGCTGTTGTTTTCTTAGAATGAGTTCCCTATTTAAATGGACGCCTAGATATACTTTTAAGATAAAAGACAACTGAACAAAATGACATGTTGGGATAGAGTGATTTCTTATTTGCTTCCTATTTGCTTTCAACATTTTTTTTTTAAGACCGTGTAAACTGCCTACGTGTTTACTTTCAGTTTCTATTTTTCCAAGTATTTTCTAAGCCGTTTCAAGTCTTACTTATAATGCCATCTCACACACATATTTCTTTGTGTTATTAATTTTTAAAAATTATTTAGCTTGGTGTTTTGTTACATAAGTGTATGATAGATAACAATTTTTTCCAAAACTTCGCGTATGTATATATGTAGATAATCTCAAGAGGGGAAGGTTAGATCAGATCTGTTTAGCGCTTTAAGAGGGGATACAAGTGGATTCCGACTGTTTGCTTAGTTAAATAAATATGTTTGGATAGTTACAGATATCATGTATTGCCTTGTCAGTTTTATTGTAATTTTTGTGTGCCCATGTAAGAGAGTGGCCATTAAAACGACCGCTGTCGATGGCCTTAAATGTCTCTACATTTGCAAAGCTGTATTTTTTGTTTTGTTAGTTGTATGTATTAAAAAGTATTACTTAACCTGGTTGCAACATTCGAATTTTTATATTTATCGCAACAGTGAGCACAACATGAAAAAGACATTGGGTATTTCACAAAACATTCCATTATTCCAAGATAATGTTTATAATGTAAAACCAAATAACAAGAATACATTTTAAAGACTAAGACACATAAATTATAAATATTTTTTTTTCTTATTGTAACACCACTACTCTGACATGGCGTGGGATCTTATTTCTTATGCTGAGGGTTATGTCAGTAGTATGGTTACTTATGTTAATACTTCAGGATGCCGACTAAGACTTCTTCATTCTTCCACTTATTATCCAGGCACGCAAAGAAGAATACTCAATTCTGGTTAAAGCTCACAGTACTTTATTGAACACACCTTATACTGATAATATTAATAAATACTCCTTGCATGAATGTAATTTCACATATATATATATATCTATAGTATTCCATCATTAAGAAAGACACGTCCTCACACTTCTACAACTCAGCTCAACTGTCTCGTAACTCAGCTCTCACGCTACTGATCTCTACTGCTCTGCGCTCAGCTCCCTCTATATCAGTCAAATCATACTTTATTACCAGCAATGCGTGAAAAACGTCCGCTCTGACAAAAACATAATTTTACTCTCCAAAAACGTGGAGCTCACATTTGATCTCAAAAATACAATCCATTGTCTGTCTCTCCTCGTGGACAAAACATGGTCAACTCACTTCACTGTTAACTCACGCTACCTCTCTGTTTTCTTGTGAAAACATTGTCCGTTACACTTATTTTTTTATATTGTTAAATTGTTGAGTATTTTACTCATGCTATCATTTTAAACTTTTAACTGAAGCGAATTTCAATTAAATGCAAATGTTTTGTTTCTTTTAAGTAAAACAATTTTTTTTTTAAATTTTAGGAGAAGTAGAACACAATTATATCAGGTAAGTTATAGTTTAAAGATAATTTGATTAATATTATTTTGCTTACATTATTGAAAGAATAAGATAGCGTGTGTATATAATCACTCTTATTTTAATTGAAAAAAAAAAGCTTTGCACATTTGTTTTTTTCTTAATAATGTGAGGAAATACAGTAACTGCTAGAGCTGGCTCGATTAACAATATCAAGGATTTGGCCATGTAACTTTCTTGAATTATTTTTGTGTGGATATGTTTTATTTGCGAAGTAACTAATCCACCGCAATAAATAGCAGGTGAATTAGATATATGTACTGATCCATTGTTTCCTTGGTTTGATATTATAGTTTATAAGGTTTTTTTAGACTCTTTTTTGTCTAGGGCATTTGTTGTGTAGAGCTTGTTTACAACATTTTCCTTGTGAGGGCACTCTGGTTGACCCCACATGAGACGCTAGGTTCACATATGGGCGTGGCTTAGTCTTTTGATCTGCCGTGTTTAATGCCGAGAGCAACTAAAAATAATGTATTTGCTCTCATTGGTGTTCTGTCGAATGTTAGCTATTGTATTAGAAAAGTAAAGGCGTTTCTGGACGCGTCGTTAGACCCACAATATAAATAAAGATTTTTTGAGATTAGGAAAGAGATTCGGACGGAGATTGATATATATTTTTAACTTCACGAGACGTGTATTATTCTTTCTGTACTTATATGTGTTTATTCACATTCATCATTATAAATTGGCACATTGTACTAATTGTGTAACGGTACGAGATTTTCCGATACTATGTAAGATGATGATTTGTAATTATATTTCTTTTTTTTTTTGTAATTGTATTATTACTAAATTAACTCTGATTAATTGTAATTAGGAACTGTTTTGGGTGTCGTATTTTTGTTATTGTATTTCTCTATGGTATCGTCCTTTGTTAGGCACTGTGTGAACGAGCCATCACTTAAAACAAAAGATTAATTTCTTACAATAGAAGCCTGTGCGTAACAGGGTCGTTTACAAAAATAAAATGCCATATATTCATATGATGTTGAAAAAGTAATTTTAATTTTTAAAAGCTAACAACTCGCGATAATCACAATGAACGTCATTGACTTCTTGTGTGTTTAAAAAAATATATATATATTGTAATGGAGTTTTCCGTTTAGCCATGCTTGATCCTACCAACCCCATTTTGCAATAAGCCCCCACTCTCTGACCCCCCTGAATTCTTTAAAATTTATTTTTAAAAAATTAATATTGTGCATGGTGATAGCGGCTCTGTGTTTTCAAATTTTAAGTTTCTAGGAAAATGGAAAAAAAAAATCATTTTTTAGATTTAAAGAAAACAATAAACCCACTCTAGGACCTATTTTTGAATATTTACATTATTTTATTTTTATTATTATTACTGGAGAAATGACCCGATGTTATCGGGATAATAATAGTAGGTCCTTTGCAATAATTTCTAACTGCTATTGCAAAAGCTCATCCCAATTCATAACTTTTAAAATGTAATGATATTTATGTTTTTAACATCATTAAGTTTTCAGAAGTGTTTATCTGCTATATATGATACGCGTACCCTACACCTTTTCACGCTCCTAAACTACTTTTCCGCCTCTAAATATGACTTTAAATTATCCAGTCTAAATTATCACTAATTATACCCTTTTTGTCCCTAAAGATTTAATTGAGGGACGGACAATTACTACGCTAGAGAAATGCTTTAGATCTACCCCTTTTCTTGCCCTTGAATTACAAAATTTTTCTCTCAATTTTTTAAAAAAAACCTAATCTTAAATTTACAACAAAAACTATATATATGATAAAAAGATATTTTGTATTACAGGAATTCGATATATATTGGTAACTTCATAAAAAATTTAAAGAAATTTTTGCCTTTTTAAAAAAAGTATATGTTATCAGAAAATCGTAAACAAAGAATTATTTTATCTAAGAAAACTCGCAATTGTCTTCAAAAAAATGTTAATGCCATTAAAATACACACCTCTTTACTTTTTGCAAAGTAATAAAAAAATAGTATTTTCATTTTTTTAAAAAGAAATTATTAACCTCTCTTCATTTGTCAAAATTTAATTTTCAAGTGTGTAAAAGATTGGGTTTTGATATTTATGGTTATACTTATATAAATGTACCCAAGATTTGTTAACGCCATTGATTTTCTTAATTGGTAAGAATATGTTTATTCGTAAAAAAAAATTTTTCACGAAAGTAGCCATAGTATTTAAATATATTGTCATCAACTTAAAAATGTACACATCCCCTTTCCTATCTCCGATATTTTTGTACTTAAGAAGGTTAATTATTAATCAAATTAACTCCTTTAATTTTGGTCGTATCTTGTATTGCCTTGGGCGAAATTAACATAAACTATTTGTAAAAAGAGAATGTAAAATCTTATTTTTTTCACATATGTAATACTATAGGATTTAAATATATTGTCATCCACGTAAAAATGTACACATCCTATTTCATACCTGTGATATGTATGTACCAAAAAGTTTAATTATTTATCAAAATCATTCCTTTATTTTGAGACGTATCTTGTGCTGATTTGGAAAAAATGAACATACACATATTTGTAAAGAGAGAATGTAACATCTCTTTTTTCACAAATGTAATAACATAGAATGTTATTATATTGTCATCTTTGTAAAAAATGTACGCATGCTATTTCCTACCTCCGATATGAATGTACCCAAGAAAGTTAATTATTTATTAAATTCATTCCTCTATTTTAAGACGTATCTTATGCTGCCTGGGTCAAAGTGACTAACCCCTCCCCTAACCAGATTTAAATAAATTTAGAAAATATTCCACAAGATTGCTATAGTCCCTTCCATACCCAAACTAACATGTTTTGCACTTCATATCGTTCGTTCTTATTTGTATGAGGCATAAGTGGATTAGTGAATGCTATTTAGCTATGGAGTTGCCCTGCACTGATTGACTTAAATCGCATTTTCTTTTTTAGAATTAAAGGTATGTTTAATTGTTAGCTTTTGAATTACGTTATAAATTTAATAAAATATTGTTTTGGAATAAAAAAAGGCAAAACTTTTTAAATGTAAAAATATACATAACAAAAATGTGTGTGTGTTTTATTGAAAATTAAAAAGCAATCACTTGTATTTATTAATTTTATATTAAGAATGGAAAATGCATTATCAGTTTTGTCTCGCGCGATTATTAATTTTAAAGAAACCTAAGAGTTTTGGAGAAATAGGCTATTCTCGCTATGACGTCAATTGCCTGATTATTTAGAACAAATTGATTTTAATTTTAGTTCGCAGTGTTAACAACGCACTAAATGACGCATTAAAACGACTGATGCTTGGGTTTTTCCGATAAATGTGATTACGGTGTAATTTTTTTATCATGATTTTTACTTTTTATTTTATTTTTTCAT